ACCAACTGAATGGGATGTTAACCCAGAGATGACTAAATCCTCTGCGGGGGGCGGGGGGGGGATTCACAGCCTACAGAGCCTAATCCTTTGGCATCAGGGCCACTAAGCATGCATGGGACAGAATTTATGCCACCCCTGCTTTGTGCCAAGCCTTAGAAGGCCTGCTGTGGCATTGATGTGGACCCATCCAGATGGGACCGGGCAAGATAGGACCGGTGGCATGGGATAAACCTGGCCCGGATCAGGCATTCTGGGCCAGCCCTTGGGCGAGGCCTTGAAGTACTGAGGGCCCACTACGGTCTGCGTTTCCAGCAAGTACCTGCTTGTGGGGAAAATAAAACTCTTCTCTGAATTGCTGAGTCCTTAAACATACACATGCATGCACAGACACACATGCTTGTACAGATGCAATTAAACATCCAAACAGATGCACACACGCATATAGGAGTGAATACATGGGTACTGCACCTGGTAGATGCAGTGGTCATGCACAGACTTGCACACACAGTCACACACAGTCACACAGATTTCACCTGCACACTCCCATATCGTGGGCACAGGGAGAGGCAGCCCGCCTGGCTTGGTGCTGCTCCACCCCCCTCTTCTATAAGTTTCCCTCTGTGGCAATAGGTCTGGAAGAACCTTGGCAGTAAAGATAAGGTGGTGGGATGGGTGGGGTAGGGAAAGGAATCTGGGGTCAGGGAGGCAGAAGGTCACTGACGTTCAGGCTGCTCCAAGGCCAGTCATTACTTCCACAGAGGTGACTGAGCTCAGGTAGAGTTGTTTCCCAGGCCTCTTGAGGCCCCCTGACCCTGACTCTGACCCTGGGCAGAGAGCCGTCCCTCAGGTGTGGGGCCAAGCCCCAGTCTGTGGAGGGAGAGCACTGGGAGTGGCTGGAGGAGCTGGGACTGCTGATGATCAGCAGATCATGTTGATTTCAGCAGCCATGACCCACCCTCCTTACCCCACAGCCCACTACGGGCACTCCGCCAAGGCTGGTTGCCCCCCCTCCTCAGTATTTCACTAACGTGGCCTCTCCTCTCCATCCCCTCTGCCCTATTTCAGCCCAGGTGACCATCACCTCTCAGCTGGTCTGTGCTTTCCTCCTTTCAGTCATCAGAGGAATCCACCTGAAAGTGAAATCTGGTCTTCTCACTCTCCTGAGTTAAACCCTGCAATAGCTCCCCATTGCCCTCAGTCCAGGTTCTTTAACGTGGCCCACTACCACTGGCTGGGCCTGCATGGGGCAGTGTGAGAGTCAGGATGGATAGGCTGTGCTCTGATAACCCCACTATCTCAGTGGTCCGCTCTGTCAGTTTATTTCTCTGTCGTGCTATATGTCCAACATGAGTCAGGTGGGGGGATGCTGGGTTCCATACAGTTCCTTGGGGGACCCAGGATGATGGAAACTGTACCGTCTAGAACATGTGGCCTCGTCTCTTGTGCTAAGGACAAGAGTTCTGGATGGTCACAGGCAGGTCTTCTGTGCTTCTGCCTGGAAGTGGCACATGTCTCTTCTGCCCATGGCTAGATGAGGGCTGCTTAACTGCAAGGAGGCTGGGATGTGTGGTGAGTGATGGGCTGTCTGGTGAACATCGCTATTGGCCATGGGGAGGTCCTCCCCACCCCCTACTGCTGCTCAGAGAGAGGTGGGGTGGGGGACCTGGAGCAGAGCCTGCTGACTTCTCCCTACTTTCTCACCCTCATCCCAGGCCTAAGGCAGCTTCTCAGCTGCCATCTAATTGACAAGGCCCTGGGAAGGCCTTTGTCCCTGCTGTTCCTTTCTAAGAGGACTCCCAGGGCCCATTTCTCCCAGGACCCAGCGCAGAAAAAAGCTGTGCTGCTCTTTAGCGGGTGGTGGTTTTTATCTTACAGACACTGACTAAATCCCATTCTGATTCTGCTTCCCTTATCGAATTGACTGCTAGGAAGCTCCGACACAAATCTGAGGTCCACCGCCTGTGTGGAGGACCTGGCAGCACACATTCAGGACCTTACCTCCCCCTGCATTTCAGATGATCTCTTTTTGTTCCTGCGTTTTCCCTGTCTCCCCATTTCCTCACCATGGCTTTTCCATTTCCTTCTATCTTGTGCTCTCTCTATTTCTGTAAGGCTTCCTTCATCCTTTCTGAGATCAGATGGGCATTAATTAGTCAGACCTTGCATTCTGTGCTGCTGCTTGTAGTTCTGGCAAATGCAGCCAGGATTTTGGGCAAAGTTCCCGAAAGGAGAGTGGAAATGTCTGAGTTTCACAGGACAGACCTGCCCCCGTGAGGCAGATGGGCTACCTGGAAGGGCTTGGATCCTGGGTCTGGCCCTTGATCACCATGACCTCCTGAGATCAACAGTCTAATCGTGTGCCTTTGAACTGAGCACAGACAAGAAGAGCTTTAAGGGTCAGCTGCCCAGGCTGAGCAAATGCCTTCTTTGTCCTGACCCCTTGGGTATCCAGCCAAACTTGTCTTCCCCTGGGAAGGTCCTGAGGCCTGAGGTAGGCAATGCACTGTGCTGGGCTTTTTGTTGAGGAACCCTTAGCCTGGTAGAGAGCATGAGACCTGACACCACACTCCCAATCAGGGCAGACAGTGTCAGGGACCTAAGGGCAGAGGAGAGACAGCTGTGGGGAGTAAAGGGGAGCGCAGGAGAGCAAGGTCTCTGGTACTCGGGGCATCAAGGAAGACTCTGGGGGCTGGGAGCTGGGGAATGGGAGGATGTGGACTTGCGGACACGGGTACAGGCAATAGGTGGCTGGGAAGGGCAAGCCAAGCAGAGGGAAAGGCAAGGGCAAAGGCCCCAGAGGACTGGGAATGCAAGAGCAGACTCAAGGGAAGCTGGATGGTGTTCTTTATCTGGAAGGTACCCTTCAGAAGGTGAGCAAGGAAAAGTGAATCTTGGAATCTGGGGGGGACACAACCAGAAGGCCTTGAATGACAGACCGAGTTTGACCTTGAACCTGTAGGGCAGCAATGAATGGGGAGCAATGAAGGGTGCTGTAAGGTGGGGGCTGGGGTGGTAAGGGGTACAACCAGGGTTGGTATCCAGAGGATCCCTCTGCTACATGGGGAGCATAGATGGGCGGGTCCAGTGGCATCAGTGAGATTGGGGGCAAGGATTTGACCTGAGCGGCAGCAAGGCTGAAGGAAGGCCACACAGCATTATGCATTTGGCCACTCACGAGGCCTGGACCCTCTTACAAACCATTCCTGATCTGGCCCTGCTCACCTCTGGCTGGTATTCTCTTTACTCACATCGCCCAGTTTATGTTTATATGTGTGTGTGTGTGTATGTTTTTGTTTTAACATCTCCTATTAATCTTACCAAATTGCATGTAGTTCCCCAAACTTTCCATATTTTCTTCTATCTCGCGGCCTTTGCTCAAGTTGTTCCATCTGCCTGTGACACCTCCCACCAGCTCTCTCTTGTCCTGCCAACATGGCTAACTCCTCGCCCTTCAAGTCACAGCTCACGTGTCACTTCCTCTGGTAAGCCCTCCCTGACTGTCAAGTACAAGCCTCCATTATTACCTAAAGCACCCTGGGTCTCAGTGGCCCAGACTTCCCCAGTGGCTTCACTCACAGCTCCTGAAAGGCTGGGCTTGGGCTTACTCAGTGCCTGGCACAGGATCTAGTCACAGTGGTGCTCAGTAAATATTGAATAAATAAATACAAGGCTGGGTGAGAAACCAGGACAGCCCGAGATGCCTGGAAGATAATAGTGGTCGTAATTATTATTGTTGATCAAGGTATCTAAATGTATCATCTAATTTAACCCTCATGACAAGTCGATGAGAAGGATGCCTTCGTTGTCCCCATTTTACAGATGAGAAAACAGAGGCTTCAGAAGCTGAGTCACTTGCCTGCCCAGCTGGCGAGAGGCAGAGCTGGAAATGGAGCGCAGGCTGGCTGGCTCCAGAGGGCACAGTGTTACCCACTTG